CTCTGTCTCTGTCCCTCTGTCTCTGTCTCTCTATCTCTCTGTCTCTGGCTCTGTCCCCCTCCATGTATGGCTTGGGTTTCAAAGTTGATACAATGAGGCCTACAATGAGGTCCTCATCCCTCCAACAAGGCTCACTCCTCCCTGTGGTAGGGCTTCCCAAATCCCAGGCTCTGAGCCCTTCTCCCCTGTCCCTTACCTCCTATATCTTTGCTCCTCCTGTCTCTCCTCCAGAGTCTGAGGATGAGCCAGACCTCCTCCTTAATAAGACAAACCTTTCAGCTTGTGCCCTTGATCCCCCTCCCATCCCATCTCCCCCGGGAGTTCACACCATTAATCATTCCCTCTCTCCTCTTCTACCTCTTCCTATCTCCTGGCGCCATCCCTGCAGCTTACAAATGTGCTCGGGTCTGCCTCATTCTTTAAAAACAGTCTTCCCTTGGCCCAGCCACCCCTTTCAGCTAGTGTTCCATTCCTTCGCTTTCACTGCCAAAGTCCTAGAAAGAACAGTCTACATTCACTGTGTCCACGGCTTTACCGCCCACTCACTTCTCAGCCCTCTTACAATCTGTCTCTCGACCCCACCACTTCATTAAAACTCTCCTCTCAAAGATGTTTAATGATCTCACCTGCCAAATGGAGTGGATTATTCTCAGCCTTCATCCCCCTTGATCCCTCTGCAAGTTCTGACCACACCAGCCACCCCCTCTCCTGAATACTGACTCTCTCCTCCCTTGGCTATTCTGACACTGTTCTCTCCTGGGCTTCCTCCTCTTCTTCCCTGCCTTACTGCTCCTTCCCAGGCTCCTTTGTGGGATCATTATCCATCTCCTGCTCTCTACGAGTGAGTGTCCCCCAACATTGTCTTCTTGAATGATATCCCCCCAGGGAGGATGCCTCCTAGGGACATCCTTGGGGGACACAATGGAAAGAGCATTTATTCTAGAGTCAGAGAACCTGGGTTCGAAACCTGCCTCCAATACATCCAACCTGAGGGACTTTGGGAAAGTCCCAACCTCCCTCCGTGGGCTTTGGCTTCCTCATTTGTGAAATGAGGGGGCGAACTAGATGACCCCTGAGGTCCCTTCCGACTCAGCTAGGATCCTGTGATTCCCAAGTCCTCTTCTCTCCCTCTGACATTCTCGCCTTCAGTGATCTCATCTGATCCCACGAGTCCAATTATCACCATCATTAGTAGTCAGTGTGGTCTAATGGGGAGCCTGCGAGACCTGGGTTCCAATGCCAACTCTGATACTTATTAGTTATATGACCAGTGGTCTGTGAAGTAACCATGGGGCCATAAGCCAGTGTCTTATCCTCTCTAAGCCCCAGCTTCCTTCTCTGCCATTGGGGATGAGAATACCTGCACCGCTGAATTCACAAGGTCATCCTGAAGGTCAAACAAGATAATGCACGTAAAGCAGTTGGCAAACTTTAGAGGATAGATAGAGGCAAACTTCAGAGGATAAGATCAATTGGCACAGTACAACAGAAAGAACCCCGGCTCTGGGGTCACAGGATTCAGGTTCAAATCCTGCCTATGATACCATCTGTGTGGTCTTGGGTATGTTACTTAGACTCCTTCAGCCTCAGTTCCTTCACTTGTAAAATGAGAAGGTTGGATTAGGTGACTCAATGAAAAGCCAACTAGACAGATGGCCTTCAAGATTTATTTATCTACCCTATTCTCTCTCTCTCTCTCTCTCTCTCTCTCTCTCTCTCTCTCTCTCTCTCTCTCTCCCCCCTCCCTCTCCCTCTCC